AAAAATGGTTCATAGTCGTCTATAAAAATGGTTCATAGTCGTCTATAAAAATGGTTCATAGTCGTCCATATTTTAATAGTAGCGATATCGTGAGATTACATCAGTGCTTCAGCTCACAATCAATCAAGAACTACTTTAATACACATAGTCAGGGACCGCGGAGCGGGATCTTGTTTGGGGGGGCTAGCGGCGAGGAGGTACTAGGGGGGTCGGAAATTTCTGAAATTTTAACTCTCGGAAATGCCATTTCCAGCGTTTTGAGGCGTTATCCAAGACATATTTACCGCAGAAACTGTCAGCAATATTATCAATAAAATCCCAAAGGCTCTTCGCTTCTTTAAGAAAATTAAAGATGTCGTAAATATTATTGGGGGGGCTGTAGCCCCCCAGCTCCCCCTGCTCCGCGGTCCATGATAGTAAATCGTGTGCGGAAGACCTGAAAACGCTATGTTTTCGTTCTGGTTCGCACGCAATATTACAGCAGTTGTTGACTTGGCTGCACCACAGGTAGCCCAAGCACTACACTTGTCGGCTTTTCTCTGAAGGAGCCAGGTAGCACCGCTCGGAACGGGTCTCATGATAGGTTGAGAAAACAATGGACAAACAATAGATAAGTCTTCCAACAATATAACAAAAACTAACCTAACAATAGTGGTGCTGTACTTAAGGAGCAATCAAAAAGCAGGTTTCAATTGGTACTGCATTACTGGTCTGAAGGTCTTGTGGGGAAAAAGGAAAAACTCAATAAAAGTAGGAAATCTTCATAAAATGAATTCAAACTCACACAATATGTTGTTCTTAACTTATTACACATCTATGCGAAGTTTCAGCTCTCTGCAGTCAAAAAACTGCTTTTTTCTTAATGTTGGTCCCCTAGATAATATTATTTTATTGAATTTTTCGTTTTTCCCCACAAGACCTTCAGAGAAAAGCCGACAAGTGCAGTGCTTGGGCTACCTGTGGTCGACAGCGCGCATAACCACACATGTTTTCACACATTTTTGTTTTTAAAGGTGTAAATATCGTTTCTAAACTAAGTTGTTTGCTAAACCTTCTTCATTTTTGTAATTTTAATGCTCTAAACGCAGAAAACAAATTTGACCTCACTTACATAATTTGCGACGGAAAAGCGTCGCAAATTCAGTCGATTTCTCCAGAGTCTCTCACGCACTGACTTCCGCTGGATGGCAAAAGTGTGGGCTCTGGGTATGAGATTGAGAGGAGAAGGCAACCTCGTCCTCAGGGCCATCTCGGCCGACTCCGTCTTGAAACGGAGTCGGCCGAGATGGCCCTGGGGACGAGGTTGAGGAGAAGGAAGCTGCTCCCTACCTGAGCTTTTTGCTAAAATTTTCGATCTCACTACAGATCGCTACACAAGATGAAGAAGATTTCATGCGAGCACTGTTCACAACTGCCTCAAAGAAACAGTGCTTTAGTGAAATCTTCCTCACAGTGTGTGATGAGTTTACTATTATCATTGTTGTATTATAGTCCAGTGTCACGAATTTTCACGGAACACTGCCTCTGGTTACCCGAGTATCAGGCCTTCGAGGGGGCCTGGGGCGGCCCCACGAGAGCCTGATACTCAGTTTGTGTCAACCCGCGAACTTTAGATTAGCCATTCCGGAGTTATGAAACGAATTGTAAGCAATCGAAAAACTAACAATATCACTAAAAAGACTTTATCGACTTTAGTGTAGGTTACAAGTTACAGATCATGTGGACAAATATTCAATACTCCAGTTTCGAATTCATAGCGAATAACCGCTGCTTTATTTGACAACACATTCTCTTGCGCAAAGACCTTACAAACACAAAAGAGAGCACGAGAAAATGTCGTTATTACAATAGACTTGAAAATTTGCATTTTCCCCAAGTTGAGATTATCCCTGTATTCCCATAAGACCTAAGGTATGAGCAGGGTTAGCCTCAACTCGGAGAAAATGTAGATTCTTAGCGCTATTGTATTAACAACATTTTGTCGTGCTTTCTTTTGTCTTTGGTAAGTTCTTTGCGTAATAAAATCTGCTGTCAAGTAAAACAGCGGTTATTCGCTTTGAATTCGAAACTGGAGTATTAATGAGAAGCCGTGCAATTTACAGAGAATGTATGGGGATTTTGACCGCGTCCCCCAAAACAATACATTATCTGTTAATTTGATGAAACTAGGAATAAATACTGTTCAGCTAGTTTTTATCCAAACTTTTTGAAACATGGTATATTTACTAATGTTTGGGTGTCCTTTCATGGGGTCGAGTTTGTTTCGTGATTAGATCAATATTTCTTTGATTAGTGCCCAGTCCCCTGCGCAACTCCGGAATGGCCAATAGGGTCTACATTTTACCAATTCATCTCGAATAGGTTATGGAATTTCACGATTTTGCTGTCTTGAATAGGGTTAGGGTTTAGAAGCACCAGCGGAAGTACGTCCCCTATCCGTATTTCATTAGCCTCCCCACCCCCTCCCCTTCCGTTTCCCCCCTCCCCCCTCCCCTAGAGCCGCCACGCAGGCTAGTATTTCATGACCTAATAGGCAATATGCAACATTTTGTGCAACAAAGACTGATGCTGGGAGTTGTAGTTCTTGCACTGTTTCATGTTCAATACGATTTCCCAGCACATTGTCCACGAAAAAAAAGAACACCGTATATACACCTACTTGCGAAAACGTTGTCATAAAAAATAGGACATTTGTATTTTAGTAAAAAGGAATAAATTAAAAAGACAAAAGGAGATCACTGAGGCTGAACGCTTTCTTTTGTCTTGTTTTAATTTATTCTTTTTTACTAAATTCAAATGTTCTATTTTCTATAACAACGTTTCTGCAAGTAGGTGTAGCTATTTCAAAAAAGGTTGTCGGATAAAATGGCGAATGTCAATTGTCGAACGGCGATTGCACGACCGAAAGTAGTCATGGGTTTTGCTTGGTGAAATGAAATAACAACTGATTTATATTTTATGGTCCAGTGTGGTTAACATTGGCTCAATTTAGTCTCCATTTCTATGTAAGGTGAATCCAATAAGTGAAATTCTGTTGATCAATACAGTGCAACCATAGTCCCTTTCGGTCGTGCAATCTCTCTTCGACAATCGCCGTTCGCCGTTCTCCCCGACAACGTTTTTTGAAATAGCTGTATACGAAGAATTTATTGTTAGTGATTATGTGCTACAACGATCAGTCAGAGTAGTTTCCCYGCCTTCGGTCGCAAAATCACCAATCGCGCTCTCTCTCACTATCTCCTATAACCTTTAAGAAATAGCTAATCACTTGCAACTCCAGCTGAAATTAATAATGGACATTTAAAAAAGATAATACCAGTTAATTTAAATGATCTAAAAATGACAAATTTGATTTTATAATTTTCTCTATTTACAAATGCTGGAAACCCATTACGTGAAGGGTCAATGATGTGTATTGGGTTTGGTCACAGCGTGACAATATGAAATAAAATCAAACTAAATACTTACAAATAGCGGCTATTTAGAGACAAATTGTCAGTATCAATGAACCAGAACGCAATCAAGATGGATTAAAAAAGGTCCCATGTGGATTCATCTTCATTGCGTTCTGGCTCATTGATACTGATAAATTCTCTCTAGATAGCCGCTATTTTTAGTATTTAGCTTGATTTTATTTCATTTGGAGAGTCGATTGAAAATCTAAAGATAGGCACGTCTTTGAAAAGGGCGTGACAGTCCTTCCCGTAAGGACCTGGACGCTCCTAATGATGGGCTACTATAAGTGATGAATACCATGACCTTCTCATGGAATGTCCTTTGGTTTCAAGAGATTTATGTAACTCTTGTATAAATATTCCTGGCCTGAGACGGGTTAGTTTTTGGTACACGGCTAGTTAGCTGTGTCTCTTAAATTGTAACGAATGTGGAGAGGGCTACAAATATTCAAAAGGCTTGATAGAAATCTCAGAGAGGGGTTTTCGTAAGGCTGTTTAACACCGTACGTATGAGAATTGTAATGTGAATAAACGTGCATCTGGATAGGCCTTAGGTTTTGTTGCCCCTATTCTAACCGCGGAATGACCCTAGCCAAACTAATTAATCCGTTTGTTTTCGATTATTCAAAAACCTCCGTGCATCATGCAGTCTGGTATTCATTTGTTGGTAATCGACTCCTTTAAAAGTAAGCCTGCAACTTTACATAAATTGTGGACGCTTTCGATGAGAGCTTGTTCGGGCTCTTCGGAGGTTCCGTCGTGATCTGTAAATTAATAAATGAATGTATAAACATCCTTCACTCCTCGGTGGAGCAGAAGGTAACGTACGAATTCATCATCTCAACAACGACCATGTAAATGAAGAACGAAGCGAATAAGACTGATAACGACGATAATTTGACAAGATTTGCCGTGTACGTGAGCAATTACAATTACAACAGGACGGCGAATGCTGCGTTGCTAAAAACTGCAAAATTAATTTGTTACAGATTGGGTTGGAGTTGGTCGAGCTTACTGTATGCCTGGAGGAACATGGGTGTGAAGTATTGTATTGACAGTATACCTGTATCGTCCTGGATTTCCTCTGTTAGAGAAATGATGTTCTCTTCCCAGACGTTAAATAATGACATGGCAAACGATACTTTATTCTTGTATCCAGGCATAGCGTTCACCATTCTCTTGACAAGACTCACAAACATATCTAGTTTACGACTCTTACCATGACCCATATCATACCGACCAGCAACCTGCGAAAAATTGACGTTACCTCTTTAGTCGATCGAACCCCTATTGTGATCGCTGGTAAATTTCACAAAATTTGTTTCCCTTTATTAAGGTCGAATGTCTACTTAGCGGCCACTGCAACTATTGAGTGGTCACTAGTAAATTTCCTGAAGTTCCCTTTGGGTATATATTTGCTACAAAATTGACCTCTATTCGGCAGCGATCTCTCCTATGGCGTCCGCTTTATAGAGATTTGGTGTACACTTGACTGATATCTGACTGACTAGTCATACAATACTGAGTATGTAGTATGTACCTGTGCGATCGAATACCCTAGATAAGCCAGTTCATGTATTCGACCATTGACGGCCTTACTTCCAAGGACTGAATAGGTCACGTGTTCGCCACAAAGCACTAGCAGCTTGGCTATGTTCTCTAGACACCATTCATTGGATATTCCTGAAATAAATAAATTGTGGTTTGAATGAATGAAATACTAAATGCATGAATGGAAGATAGTGATGAGTAGGTAGAGTAGAGAGTCAGTTGAGTAGAGTAGAGTAGAGAGCGGTAAGAAAAATCAGAAAAATTCAAGATCATGGTAGACTCATTTGTAGACATTTCTATGATAACAATAAAGTCATGTTCCGATCGGTTGAATTTCCATCCGGCGGTTTATACCTGACAATTCCTCGATAATGCTAATAATTCCATCCTCGTTCCATTTCTCTTTGCATTCTGTATGAAGTAAGACCAAAGCATCTGCAAGCTCTCGAATCTCAACGTCCTCAACTCCGTAAAACGTTGGACACGTTGACATCACAGACCAATTGACCAAACCTGAAACAACAAAGCAACTCGTGACTCGAATGGGTAATACACTGTGCAATAGTGTTGGAGGTTGCTGCGATGCGTTCCGAAAAGTATACCTGAGTTCAACATCATTCAACGCTAGGCGCAGACAAAATGATTGCGAGAAAACGTGTTTTAACAAAGTTTAAAAACTTTGCAATTCTGAAATTCTCCAGAAACTTTTGTCGCGCCGTTGTTATTTTAAGACAAGTTGCTCAGAAAATTGGACAGTGTCCCATACCATCATGACGATAGCCTGCGTGCAGGCGTTCCTCGTTGGGGGCGGAGCGAAGAAACGTTTCTTCGCTCCGCCCCCAACGAGGAACGCCTGCACGCAGGCTATCATGATGACAGGCATCATCTAGAACTTAACTTTCACTTTTCCTGGCCGCTCAAGAAAAATCCCCATCAAAACTTATTCATCGTTCAAAAATTATAGGAACTGAATCCGTCAATAATTGGCCTCCAAAGCAAATTTGTTTTTGTTTGTAAAGTGGACGTACTTAAGCACTAATTACTATTATACTAAATAGAGTTGACCACACATAGAAATCAAAGGGATTTGAATGATTTAGTATCATTTGTACTGCTTGAGTTTCAAAGAGTCAGGTCTATCTATAGTGGAATGATTTTATCAGCAATACCTGTATCTCGATAGAATGGTCCGTATAGCAAATAAAGTAATCGAGCTTGAAAGACGATCGGCCATGGCTGAAGTATTGTAGATAACCAGAAACCTCGATCAGTTTCATCAAAAGCTTTATTTAAGAAGATCTCTCTACAAAACACGCGGATGTACTTTTCGAACCAAGGATAAGTACCAGGCGCTGAGTTGAGGACTTTTTCCATTCTCTCATCTAATAAAGACGCTCCTATGACAGAAAACGTTTTACTAATAGTCATTCTTAAGAAGATAGACAGTGTTAAACAGATTTCGTACAGACGTATGAATTGCCCTATTTCATTATGACGTCACAGTATGTTTACATCGGAACACGATGCTCAATCAAGCCGCCAATGGCAACACAACTCGAAGATTGATTGTGCAGACGAATACAGAAAGATATAATGATGAATCAAATTATAATTACTTAACGAATAGAATTTTAAATAAACGATTTATGAATATAGTTTCATTATTTAACTTCGGTTCTGGATAAACACAAG